CCTTTAATCCCAGCACTCAGAGGTAGTGGTAGGCCCACCTCTATGAGATTGAGATCGCCCTGGTCTACACAGCAAGTTCCACGCCAGACCTTGTCATAAAAATAAAATAAAATATAAAATAAAACTTTGAGGACAAATTTGCTGAACAATTTTTTGTCTTTTCATTTCAGTTTTGGGAACCAATGTTTATCCCACATTGGCCTCATGTTTTCTAGATAGTTAAGGATGAAGTTGCACTTCTGATCCCTGCCTCGACCTCCCCAGTGCTGAGATTATACTACAAGTGTAATCTCAGTGTATACTGCAAGTTTATGAGATGAACTACGAGTTTAGGAGAATGAACCCAGGGCTGTGTGCATGCCACGCAAGCACTCTACTGACTGAACTACTTTCCCAGGCCTCTACTTCTGCCATTTTCAAACAGAAGAAATATATGACAGAATTAAACACTAATGGGCTGGGATGGTACATAGTCTACTGTATGCATCTATCTCTGTAACAGAAAACATTAAAGATTCTTTTCAGAAAAATTCAAGTGACAAATCATAGTTAAAAAAAAATCTAGGTAATGGGGGTGAATATGATAAAAATATATACATATGTGAAAGGCCATAATGAAACCCACTATTATTATATGTAACTAATATACACAAAACATTGAAAAACTGAAGACAGAAAATACTAAATTTCTCAAAATTTAAGAAGAAAATTTCAGAAGGACAAAGGACACTGCAAAGGTATCCAGGATTGAGATTCTCTCCCAAATGCCCCCCTTTTGAGCACTGGGAAAAGGACAGCAAAGACTCACAGTGTGATTGTGACCCATGGTGCTCAAGGCAGCTGCATTAGCCCTCAGGCCTCACACTGGGGCCTTGGACACTATGTTGGCACAGTAGTTAACTCACACTGAGCCCCTTCAGTGAGCAGGCAAGGCAACGGAAGCCAAGGGAGTGTCACACCTTGGACCCTTCTCCTTTGTGCCATTACCTGTGTTAATTACAATACCCAACTGGAGTGTCCTATGCAATCCTGCATGACTCCACCCTGCCAGAGCATGCCAAGAGCACAGGAGGAGGCAGAAAGCAGTCATGTGGAATTTACAACCATTATTCCCTCAAATGCCTTCCTAATAAAGAATTTGATTAAATGCTTCTATTGTACTAAAACTACAGTATAAATCTAGGTAAGTGATGAAGAAAATGGTTCATTCATTTCATAGATCTGATTCCTTGAACTTTCACACTGGAGTGTGGAAGCCACCAATATTCTATCTAGTTGTGACCTGAGAGAAATCACACCTCAGAATTATAAAGAGGGCAGTGAAGCTGAAAAAATGATAAAGAAGCAAAGAGAAAAAACAACCTCCAATAAATCAGAACATAAGGGATTTAAAAAGATAGTCTGTTTTGCCCTATGTCAGCCTCAAATAAGAGCTTGCTTCAGAATTTCTTTTCAAAGTACAGTTTGGCTATGGGTATTGATTTTCAAATATTTGGCAATTAATTTGTATAATTCGCAATTTTCTTCAACGACTATAAAATGATTGAAATGTTGGCTAGGAAATAATGAAAATAATTTCTGAATTGTGTGGCCAAAGACCAATGGAAAAGAAAGAGTTTCCAAAGCTAATCCAATTATAACACCATTGAGGATCTCACCAAGAAATTTAAAAATCTGTTACACTGGGAGGCTCTTTTTAGTCTTGCACTGAGAATGCAGGGGCTATACTGGGCATGGCACTGTGTGCCTTAATCCCAGGGGGAGGCAGGCAGATCTATGAGAGATTGAGGACAGCCAGGTCCACATGGAGACTTTCAGGAGGGCTGGGACAGGGAGACTCAGTCAAACAAAACAAACAACAAACAAAAATAACAATAACAAGAATGCAGGGACTAAAATGCTGTACTTATGCAAGATAAAATAACCATACTCAGAGTCATGTTGCAACTGAGCTATGTTAGATACCCTCAGTATTCAACTCAAAAAGAAATGAGAGCCAGGTATGGTGGTGCAGAACTGGAACCCAAGCACTTGGGAAGCAAAGGCAGGATTATCATGAGTTCCAAGTTGGCCTGAAACAAAAACCAATGAACTTTAAAATTTTTTATAATTTATTTTTATTTAGTGTGCATGAGTATCTGGCCTGCATGTATCTAAGTGCACCCATGTAGTACAAAGTCCATGGAAGCCAGAAGAAGGCATTGGATCTCTGGAACTGGAGTTAGGATGGTTTTTAGTCACCATGTGGGTGCTGGGAATTGAACCCAGGTCCTCTGCAAGAGCAGCCGGTGCGCTCAACCACTGAGCCATCTCTCCAGCTCCAAAACCAAACTTTAAAAAGCGATGAGCTAGATGATCATGGTAGTATTGGTAACAAGTGACAGAAGCTGAAACTTTTGAGTGCTTACTCTGTGGCAAGCTGCTTCACACTGTGCACAAGGATTATAGGGTTTTTGTTGGCTTGGTTTGGTTTAGCTAATCTCTTTGTTTCCTTACAATGCTGGGAATGGAACCCAGGGCATCATAGTAGGCAAGCACTTTACCACTGAGTTACTAATCCAGCCTTTGCAAGTATTATATATATATAATACTTGCAAAGGCCAGTATATCTTTATTTCAATCTCATGAAAACTTTATTTTCTCCAGTTTAAAGAGATGAAGGCCGAGCATCCAAGGTAATGCGTGGCACAGTGGAAAGACCATGGTGCAAAGACATGGGTGCCACCCTACAGGAACTTAAAAGCTTTAGAGCACCTACAGGACTCTTCAAAGGCAGCAATAAGGAAGAAGGACTGGAACACAGGCCAAGTAAATGTTCTCTTCACTCTGTCCACACACAGCGCGAAAGCAGGTGGCGTCACAGGCAGAAACAGACATTTATTTCATGTGTGTGCTTTGCCTGCATGTATGTAAGTGCACTTGTGTGTACAGTGCCTGCTGAGACCAAAAGAGGACATTGGATCCCCTGGAACAGGAGTTACGGATGGTCTTTAGCAGCCATGTGGGTGCTGGGATTGAACCTGGGGCCTCTAGAAGAGCAGCCAGTGCTTCTAATCACTGTGCCATCTCTCCAGCCCCAGAGAGAAACATTTTGAATGAGAGGAGAAGGAAAGAAGTCTACATTTGAAGAAAATTTGGGGTTCTCTGGCAGGAAGGAAACCTGCAAAGAATAAGGCCTGATCTTCTGGAGATGAGTGAAATCTTAATCCTTCACATGCTGTCGCCCAAATTCCCTCTGGTCTCCTGCGCTATCAAGCAAACCATACAACATATCTTTATGTGCATTTATTAACTTACAAAGGAATGAGTACTCAGTGCCTAGCCCCGCGCCACAGCTCAGAGCCTGCCATATCAGACCACACCACACCCATAGTCACCACTAGTGTTAGCATTCGCTCATGCCTCTGGGGCCAGCGATCTTGCCCCAGGTCCACAAGAGTTAGTCCATTGTGTCCTTAAGCTGCTGCTGGCTGGCTTCCCCACACCATGCTCGCTACTCTACCGGCTTCCATCCCAGGATGGCTCCCAGCAGTCCCTCAGTAGTCCAGCTCCACGGCAGGCCCTGCTCCTTGGAGGAATTAGCCAATTGGGAGACATATGCCCCAAATTTCTAACAGCTAGGGGCATTTTTCACATGGTAATATATTTTATCATGTACTCAGAAGAAGGAATGAAAAACTGTCAGGGCTAGAGAGGTGGCTCAGTGGTGAAGAGCATTGGATGCTCTTGCAGATGGCCTGGGTTCAGCTCCCAGCACCCACAATTGGCTAACAACCATCCAAGTAACTCCAGTTCCAGGGACTCTGACACCCTCTTATGGCCTCCACAGGCATTGCACAATATGGGTGCACTTACATACATGCAGGCAAAACACTTGTACACAAAAAGCAAAATAAAAAAATAAAATAGGGCTGGAGAGATGGCTAGTGGTTCAGAACACTGGTTGTTCTTGCAGAAGATCCGGGTTCGAATCCCAGCACCCACATGGAAGCTAACAACTGTCCGTAACTCCAGTCCCAGGGGATCAACAGACTCTTCTGACCTCTGCGGGCATTGTATGACATGGGTGCACTTACCTACATGCAGGCAATACACTCATACATATAAAAAAATAATTAAAATATTTTAAAAATTGCTATTTGAGTTGGTGACTTGAATTTCATTTAAAAATATTATTACACAAATTTTAGTTTCAGATTAAGAACTGGTCACTTAATTGATTTAAATATACTCTGGCGCGCGCGCGCGCACACACACACACACACACACTCAATAGCTGTGAGACAACATAAGGTGAAGTGGTTGATTGCAGGCATTATGACATAGCATTAGGCTATTAGATAAGGGTGATTTGAACATAAGCACTGAAATTCCCTGACAATTGGCCTGATAACCAAGGCAGCTACTTAGTGACTAAATGACTAAGTAAGAGGTAGGCAATGTACACAGCAGCAATATTTTGGGCAAAGGAATGCTTTGCATCCTGGGTGGCATGGTTCTGGACCAGTCAAGATGTCAAACTACTCAAGAGCGGACAAAATTTGACGTTTATAAATTATGGGGCTGGAAAGATGGCTTAACGGTTAAGAACACTTTGCTGTTCTTCTAGAGGACCTGGGTTTGATTCCCAACACCTACATGGCTGCTTAACAACCATCTGTAATTCCAGTTCCAAGGGATTTGAACCTTCTTCTGGCCTTTTGTGGGCACTGAACACATGTGGTGCACTTACATGCAGGCAAAACACTCATACACATAAAATAGAAATAATAGAAATTTTTAAAAACTTGTAAATTGTTTATTTGGGGTATTTTCCTACTAATATCTTTGGACAGTGAGTGAAACTTCAGAAAGTAAAGCCTACATTAAGAGAATTAAGCACTGTACTCCCATCAATGTGACCAGTAGCAGGATATATAATCAGTCTCATCTTGAGCACCTGCACCATGTAACCACTCTTGACACAGGCACAATATGGGCTGTAGCTCAAAGGATCGTACCTGAGGATCGGGGCTGTCATCAGCTTCTGTCACAGTAATGTTTTTGTCACTGTTTTCATCATCATGTTCAATTGCTTTAAAAAGAAAAGACAATAAGTATATGGAATCATAAGAAAAATGGATTCAGGTAATTTTTAAGGTAAGTAACTTGTCAGGAAAACATAATGCTAGATGCATAAAATGCAAATGCAGTGTTATTTTTTGCTATCTACATGGAAGGGTAACCATTGCAACAGGCATTTTTCATGTACAGTATCTCATCTACTAAGTCAGCAACAGTAGGAAATTTTAATTTCTGGTCTTCTCCCCACTTTATCATAGCCTATGCCATTCTTTCAGTACTGTGCTTTACCAAAGCAACATTGGGGTACACATAAATAAGGGCATCTACTCATTTCTACTGAGAAGAATCTCCTTCCTTTCTAATACTGAAGATTAAACCAGGGGCCTCACATTCTACCACTGAGCTATGTTCCTAGGCCATCCACTCTTTTAATTAAAAAAAAAAAAAAAGAAAAAGAAAAAAGACCTCACTAAGTTATCTAGGCAGGCCTTGAACTTATGATCCTCTTGTCATAATTTCCCAAGTAGCTGGGATTAAGAGAGAGAGAGAGAGAGAGAGAGAGAGAGAGAGAGAGAGTGTTTGGATTAGCAAGGTAAATGTCACATTACAAAGGAAACACAGTACTTTATAGCTCAGTTATTTTGGTGCATTGTCACCACAAAATGCCAAACTCTTGAGTCTTGAGTCTACCTCCCTCTTCTCCCAGCATTACCATGTCCAAGTCCTTATCACCCTTTCCTCCCTGTTGCAATAACCTCCTACACAAAGCCTTGTTTCAGTCTCTTCCTTATTTAATCCAGCTAAAATAATCAGTCTCCAAAAATATAAATACAACAGTGCCAAGGTCTAGTCTGGGGACTGCTTATCTTAGTAAGTCTGCTCACTATTGAAGGAAGGGCTCCCTTCTACTCTCTAGCTTCCTCTGAATCTCCATTCTCATGTTGACACTCAACAAAAATTATATTTTATTCAACTCTAATCCAAGCATGATGACCAGATGATATTTTGGTAGATACAATTTTCTCTTTCATTTTAACAAATATATATTGAGTACCTACTCTGTTCTTGGCACTGGGTTATTCCCTCAAACAGAGAAAATAGCCTCATGAAATACACATCTTATCTGGAGAAACAGTCTACAACTACAATAATAAACTTTAAAATGAAGATGAAATGAGGGCTGGTGAGAAGGCTCAGTGGGTAAAGGCTCTTGCTGCCAAGCCTGATAACTTGAGTTTGATCCTGTAACTCAATTATAGAAGGAGAGAACTGACTTCCACAAGGTATCCTCTGATCTCCAAACATGTACCATGCCACAAATGACCCCGACAATTAATGCATTAAAGTGATAAATTTTTAAAATAAGATGAAATGAAAAGGTCATGCAAGGATATAGAAATGGTACCAGCTTCACTGGGAAGATCATTTTAGAGAGGTGGCCATGGGTGGCACTTCCTTGAAGACAACTTATCTGAGCTGAGGCTTGAAGGCTGGGAGTCACAGAGACAGTATAGACCACAATAAATTCATATTTGGGCAAAAGAATATAGAAAAACATGGAATTTTAAACAAGCAAGTGTATTATCTGAGGTACAGCTTTCCAAATTCTTTTGGACTGTTGGTAAAGAACAAACGACATCGCAGAAGCAAGTAGAAACAGGCAGACTAGCAAGGCTGCTGCTTCCTTAGAGATGACATGGCTTAGGCCAGGGAGGTGGCAAGAAGGAGAAACATGAAGACTTGAGATGCACTCTTTTAGAAAGAATGGACTCAGTTCTGCCAATGATCTGAACAGGAGGGGTGGAGGGGGACAGAAAAGACAAGGGTGAATCAGCAGTCAAAGATGATCTCCTTGTATTCATAACATTCATCTCCACAGAAGCAGGCCCAGGGCATAAACTCCCCACCCTAACTGCATTGGTGGACTCAGTTTGCATTATGTATGTACTTGTAAATGTTACGCTTTCTGCTGGGCACTTTTTAGAATATCATTTCATGTGCTTTTACTTTCATATGGCTTTCATGCTTGCTGTGCGGTACTTACCATGGAGCCCGCCTACAGAGCTGGGCATGCAGCATGACCTTGTAAATGCAAACAGGGACAAACAAAATATTGCCCAAAGTGACCAGGATGGCTCCATTTAACTATGTCTACTTATAAAATAAATATAATAAGCTATTTATGTTTATGTTTATTTATGAAAGAAGAAGGAAAATGTTTCTGTCAAAGCCCACAGAAAACTGGGGCAGCTCCCAGCAGCTGAGCATCTATAGGCAAGGCAGTAACAGTGGAAGTGAGTAGAGGCTTTTCTGTTTTCAACAAAAAGCCTCATTCAGGCTTGTTCAAAAGGGGTCCCCTGTTGCTACTGTAGGCCAGTCTGGAGGAAATTTAAGAAACACACTTCTGTTTTCTCTGAAAAAAAAAAAAAAACAAACAAACAAACTAGAGAATACAAAGGGAAAAATGAAGTTTAAAGTAACATCTTGAACTCTTCTTAAAAATATAACGGGCCATGAAAGAAATGCATTCCATTCAACCAACTGAAATCCTGTAAGTCTTATCCTGAGAGACAAAATAATGATATATGACTGTGAGTTCCCTTTACAAGAGGACCAACTATTCTTGGGCACTTAATTTGTAATTTATTTGATTTTTTTTTCTCCATATTCTTTAAAGATTTTTTTATTAATAATAAAGAAAATTAAACTTTGGAATATTTTAGCCGACTAAAGTCATGTTTGTTTTATATTTTAAACAACAATGTTCTGGAGCTTATGTGTTCCTTTTCCTTCCCTGGCTCTATGAGGACACAGAACATTGAGGGCAATGAATAAGAACCATAGGACAGGGCTAGAGAGATGGCTCAGAGGTTAAGAACACTGGATGTTCTTGCAGAAGACCTGGGTTTGAATCCCAGCACCCACATGGCAGCTAACAACTGTCCATAACTCCAGTTCCAGGGGATCCGATGGACTCTTCCATCCTCTGAGGGCATTGCATGACATGGATACACTTACCTACATGCAGGCAATACGCTCATACACATAAAAAAATAAAAAATAATAATTAAGAACCACAGGACAAAGTTAACACTGGTTTTGTGTCTGTGTGTGATATAGGCAATGTTCTTAATGCACAGAGAATCAAAGGAAGATTGGAGAGTATGAAGGCAAACAGGACAAAAGTCAGTCCTGTTTTTCTAGTTTGTCCTTAGTAGCAGCATCGTTCACTCATGCTGGGGACTGAGCATAGGGCCGCATGCATGCCCTACAGCTAGGCTATATTCACAGCCCCGCAATACCACACTTATTCTCATATCTTTGGAGATGTCAAATATTCATTGTCTACCATTACATTTAAATAACAGAGTGAGAATTAGACAGGCAAAGTAAAGGACAGTCACAATCTATCTTTATCTGGACACCAGAGAGTCAAAGTTCTCTCTGGACTCTTCACCTCAATGCCCTAAGGATAAAGGAAAGAGTATGTCCTATTTCAACATATAAATAACCTTATTTTTTTAGCCACTGGTTCACATATGTCACTTAAAAGCAACTTATTTATCCTAAACATCTAAGAATTTACATACACCCCATGAAGTCACATGCATTAAATATATAGTTGGAGCATTTTACTACCTTATTATACACATATTAATGCCAAAGACTAAGTTAGGAGACAACTTCTCGCCTCACACCTCCTAACAGTGAGGCTCATGAAGCAGAAGGAGGAGGAAACAGTTATTTAGATTGTGAGTTCAACTTTTTTGTCTTATCTGATCAAATAAGGGTAGGCTGGGGAAAAGTTTCTATACAAATATTGATTCTGGGACAGTTCCCTTCAGCAGAACATGTACACAGGAATGACAGTTTCTGGGACCAAGGGAGGCTAGAAGCTTCACTCTCTGCCAACACAAACCATCCCCTTATCTCTCCACACACATAATCTAAAAGCAAGAAACAGCCTTTGAAAATAACTTAGTCTAACAAAAACACAAGTATAAAACCCAGAGTATGTACTTTCAATAGTGAACATTAGACCCCACATGGGAACTAACAGTATATGTGAATTAATTAGCACAATTCACTTAAGAGTATTTAGTTTAAATGCATGCATTTGAAAATTAGCCAAGGGGGATTCCAGAGAGCTATAGTTGACAGCCTCAGTGGCTTTTTGGGCCTGCCTCTCTGAGCACTTTCTTGTTGCCTAGAAAACAAGTTTTCTCTCCCCATAACTTACTAAGACAGATACTAAGAAAACTCTCCTAGTTACTCCACTAATATTACTTTTTTTTTTCATTTTTTTAATTGAAAAGTTTTTGAGATAATGTAAACTTACAGGGATCCCTAAGGAAGAAAACTACTCTGTGTATTTTAGCCAATGTTCTCCAAATGAGAACATTTTGCAAAGTTAGATTATTTCTTTTTCTGTGGTGGAACCCAGCGCCTTAGACATGCTGAGCTGCAACCCACAGCCCTTGGCATAGTTTTATTTTCTCCCACCCCATCCCCACACTCCACTGGTGATTGAACCCTGGGCCTTGAGATTATCAAATGCTCTACCTCTGAGCTACAGTCCTGGCCCTTTTTATAAAACTTCCCACATGTTTTTTATATCTAAAAGTTCAATTTGGTGTTTTACATTTTCTATGGGGCACAGGTGCAGGTACACTGGGCCTGTATAAGAGTAACAGAAAAATAATGGAGGATCTCTTGGTGCCTAGGAGTGGGAAAGGTCTAATGTGAAGGCCTGAGTACCCAACACCACTTGTGGAGTCAAGTCATAGCGAGCCATCAAGGGAGGTGGGAAGTCCATTCTTGAGAATCAGTTCTCCCAACACTAGAATGTGAAAATGGCAGAACCCTCTTCTGTCCCCAGGATAAACCCAACACAGAGGCAAAGTTACTGCCATGCACAACCTGGGACCTCAGGGGAGAGGCTTGTGGGGAGTACAGCCACTCAAAGAAGGCTGAAACTGCTGTTCAACATCAGAAAGTCCTCCATCCTCC